TTTTTTTTTTTTTTTTTTCTTTTTTTTTTGGACTGAACAAATCTAAATCTAAATCTAAGTACGTGCTATTTTAACACCACTAGCTATGTTTCGTATACGTAGTACGTATGTACATGATATACATAGTATACAGAAAGTTATGTAATGATGCAAAAATTGATTTCGATATTTCAACGGGAATACACGTTATGGGATCCCCTGACACCGAAAAAGTAGTTTTTTTTACTTCTCACAAAACGTGTGAACATCACTAGCGCCTAAACCATACGTATGATTTTTTCTAAATTGAAGCAACAACTGTCGATGTAGCTCGAGTCAAAGCTTTGAGATATTGAAAAAAATTCTTTAATTTTTTTTGGGATACTGCACATGAAGTCCCCGGGACATTTTCAAAATTTCTTCAAAAACCGCTCCAAAGTTTTTCTTAGAACTTTTTGTAAGAATAGAGTAATATAATGAAGAATAGAGTATAAAGGTGGCATGGGTCCTATTTTCAGGGTTAACTCCAATTTTTCGAATAATTCAAAAGTTTGAATTTTTTCTGACTACAAGTTCAAAAGTGAGGAGCACTGTTTAATATGACATAAAGTTTATTTCATAGTATTCTTTTGTTTTTTCTAAAATTCACAAATGTAATATTTTTTAAATATCTCTTACGCCATTAGAATGCACATATTCAGCAATTTGAAAATACCATTGGATTTGCGATTTTAAGTGCTTCCAATTACTTCAAATTAAATGTTTCGGAAACTCAAAATATTTCTGTGAAAAGAAATTTTGCATTTACAGTAATGCTTGAACACCATTTTCTTAAAATCAGTTCCCAATTTTGAATGAAAATTGCTATTGAGGACAATGTTTAACACTTCTATAATATTTTTAAAGTAATAATTCCGTTTTACTATCAGGAAACCAAAAGAATTGAGAATAAATATACTTTGGGTGGTAATGACATCTGGCAAGAGGATGAGGCAAGACTGTAAAGCCAGTCTACACAAAGGAAATTGGAAAACTTTACTACGAGAAAGTCTGTGCCATTTTGCAGCAATGCAATGTATTGCAGGATAATTTAAACTTAAATATTGTTTTTAATTGTTTATGTTCTCTCATTGTTATTCAAAGATATGCAAAACATTCAAATAAATGTTAATAGAATAAAAAATATTTATTAAAAATAGTAATGCCAAAACTTCTGGATGTTGTTAAAAATACTCGCTAGTGCTTGAAGGTTAACAACAATTAACATGAAGTTTGGATCCTAATGTAGAATACCAAATTAATGTTTATAATTTTTTTTTATCCTCCAAGAAATTAATGAGTAGTAAGTCTGGCAACAAATTCAAGTGTTCAACATATTTTTCACAATTACAGATCTTAATAAATATTTTAAAAAATCAATCAAATTAATCAAGACCTTCTAGGTAGCTAAGATTTCAAACACAGGAATCACCTTGCTTCCTTGGTTCAAGGTGGCCTCATGTGTTCAATATCTACCACAATATGAGTATTCGTGACTTGCCATGTATCTTTCACAATAATTTTTTTCATATATTACAAGTTGTGTCTTTGTGGGTGACCTGGGCTGTCCGGGTGACGCCGCGTCGAAGGCTGAGTTGCCGTTTCGACCATCCTGTCGT